GGTTAAAGCGCGTCTCTTTTGCAGTGTGCGATGGCTCTGACTAGTATAAAGTTTGTCGAGAAAGCTGCAAAATCATTAAAGGCTTTTTTTTTTTTTTACACTAGGGGGAGAAACTTTGAGAATATTTTCGGAGGTGTTTGGCTCCCGCTCGATCTTTCTCTCGCCGTTTAGAAGCGTGAGAGCAGTTGGGCTGATGCCAAGGGCCCGTTTAGCCCAGCAGACCTGCTGCCCAGCCAGGGAGAGAACCCCCTCCTCTTCCTCCTCCTCCTCTTTCTCCTGGTATCCAAGCTCACCAACTCCCCTTGTTTCTCGCTGCTGCAGCTATCTGGCTTGCTTGCTTCTCCTCAAATTATCGCTTCCTACCCTAGCCAGCCCACCATGGCCTGCCTGGGGGAGCTGCTGGCCGCTCACTAACATCCCCAGCGGTGTCCGGGTTGAAGGCTTTTTGCGGAGGTGGTGGCCAAAACATTGCCCAGTCTAGGGTGACCTGCGCAGTTGGGCTGGCTGCCTCACCGCGGCGCGAGCAGCCCTTTCTTGAGGCGTGGGTGATGGCCAAGTGCCTCTTGCCAGAGTCATGAATTCCGGTGGAGATCCATGCTGGAGGACGGGGTGCTCTCTGGAACGTCTCATGGGGGTAGGGAGGGATGAGAAAAAGTCCTGTTGGAAACCTAAGGGAACTTACTTATGGCAGATGCACAGCTGGAAGTGGAAAAAAATCAGTTTATCTAAAGAAAATGATGTGTTGTTTCACACTTTGCAATTTTTCTTCAACAACTTGCTGCCGTCTTTCATGAGTTTATTCAATTTTCACATTTAAATACCCCTTTGGGGTGACAGATTGATCCATAACCCATTGCAAATAAGTAATACTGTGCCACACGTTTCTGCTAAGACATATCTGAGAAAAGAATACGTTATTCACAGAAATACGAGCCTAGAAAATGTCTGTTGTTGTAGGTATTACCTTGCACTGTCTGGGTAAAAGCTAGTTCAAGCTGTACATTTTTTTCTTGGCTGTTTTGTCTCCGTGCTGGGAGTACTGTAAATGCACAGGTGGCAGCACAGCTCTGGGAGAGGGCTTCGTATATAAACAGCGGCAAGCGTCGCGGCGTTTCTGCTGCCGTGCTGACAGCGGCCTGCTGGAATTTTCCTTGCTCGTTTGTTTTCCTTCCAGGTTTGTACAAGAAGTCTGGAAAACTTGTGTTCCTGGGCTTGGATAACGCAGGCAAAACCACTCTGCTGCACATGCTCAAAGACGACAGGCTGGGTCAGCATGTCCCGACACTACATCCCAGTAAGTCTGCCCACGACTGAGCCCCTCCTGCCTCGTGGTGTGGCTTTTCCTCTGGAATTTTGGGGGACAGGGTGGTGGAAGATGCCTCGGTGATAGCTCTGCGTTGGGGCAACAGGCCTTTAAGAGTCTTACGAACTGCACCTGAGGGTGCAGTTGCACGTTGGCTGCCCGAGTTGAAGTGGATTTGCGTTTTCCTCTCAAATATAAAACGGAGAGCCCGAGAGCTGGCGTGCTTCAATTAATACGACGTTCCTCTCTTGGGGAGGGAGCACGTTTCTAATGAAAAGCGTGATAAAGTGTAATAATTGCGGATTAATAAGCATGTGCTTAAGTGGGGAGGCAGGAAAAATTCTTCTCTCCCGCTCGTGACTTTGTGAAACAACTCCATTTTGCTGGCTGGATTCTACAGGAAATTCAGGGAATTCCTGAATTCTACAGGATATCTTACGTGAGGGGGGGTGTGTGATGTTAAACGAGCATCCCCAAGAAATTCTGTCCATGACAGCTTGTTTATTTTCCTGCGACACAGCCTGTATTTTTACTTTTCAGCATCAGAGGAGCTGACAATTGCTGGAATGACCTTTACGACTTTTGATCTGGGTGGACACGAGCAAGGTAAAAACGAAGTTGCTGAGTGCGAGACACCAGATGAGGTTGATTTTCTGATTTCTGTGATGTTCTTCAGCTGCCTTAAGAAAAATCTACCAAAAAGTGATGCCGAAAAGTGATAGCAACGAGCAGTGGTTCAGTACTTCTGCTTAATTCTGGCAGTTTGGGGGAAAAAAAAAAATGCCCAAATGCCTCCAGTTCATGCTCTGCTGCCTGAAATATTTTTAGCTGTGGAAGACTTGAATGTCGTAGGCTTATTCCTTTGAATAATTGCTGAATTTTTATTTTTAGGCTTTCTAGAAGTTCTAAGAAAAGGTTTTCTGCCTTTTTTTTTTTTTTTTTAAATACAAAAAAATATTGGAAGACAGACACCCTGGCTGAACAGGCAGCCTTGGTTACTTGTGAAAGCAGAGGGAGATTGACTGCCTTGTGGCCTCGGTGCGTCCCTTCACCACAGAGGGTCTTAAAACTGCCTTGGGGAAATCCTAAAGAAGAGGGTGGTGGCTCCTTTTTGGGTGTAGGTTTCCCGTTGCCTCGTAGTGTCTTCATGGGGGCGGTGTTTGTCGTTTCTGCGTTGCAGCTCGCCGAGTTTGGAAGAACTACCTGCCGGCCATCAACGGCATTGTCTTCCTGGTGGACTGCGCAGATCACTCGCGTCTTATGGAATCCAAAGTTGAGCTTAATGTAAATTTCCTTCTATTTTTCCTTCTCTAACACTTCTGAATAGCTAAATTATAAATAATGTTCTTCTTTGGGGGGCTGGAACTTGTGCACAGCACATTTTGAGGGTATTGTGCTTTGGATTTGCGCTTCCAGTGCACCTTTTGCACCAGCGATGCAGCATCCAAAGCGTGTGCTTATAGGAACTTGCACTTTACTTTATGGGGGGACCAGATTTATAAGTATACTGTCCCAGAGCAGAGAAGCCCGGCGTACTGCACCCAGCTCTGGAACCCCCGACATAAGAAGGACGTGGACCTGTTGGAGGGGGTCCAGAGGAGGCCACAGAGATGCTCCGAGGGCTGGAGCACCTCTCCTATAAGGACAGGCTGAGAGAGTTGGGGTTGTTCAGCCTGGAGAAGAGAAGGCTCTGGGGAGACCTGAGACGATGGGCCAAGGGGGAACGGTTTGACACTGAAAGAGGGGAGATTTAGATTAGATATTGGGAAGAAATTCTTCCCTGTGAGGGCGGTGAGCCCCTGGCGCAGGGTGCCCCGAGAAGCTGTGGCTGCCCCATCCCTGGAGGTGTTCAAGGCCAGGTTGGACGGGGCTTGGAGCAACCTGGGCTGGTGGGAGGTGTCCCTGCCCAGGGCAGGGGGGTTGGAACTAGATAATCTTTAAGGTCCCTTCTAACCCAAACCATTCTTGGATTCCGTAAGCCCGGATGCCCTTACTGTGTGTCAACCATGGGCTCTTGAGAAGCTTTTGAAGCAGTTGTTTAACAGCCCCTGAGTTTAGATAGGACCTGCTTCTTCCAAGAAACCTTTCCGGAGAGACTCCTCTTCCGCAGCACCAAAAAATAGTCCTTTGTTGGTCACAGAGCTGAAACAAAATGTTTTTCTTCAAATTATGACCATCTGCTCTGCTTCTGCTTAACCCCTCGGTCTTGCGCGCAGGCCCTAATGACAGATGAAACAATATCCAACGTGCCAATCCTCATCTTGGGTAACAAAATCGACAGACCGGAGGCTATCAGCGAGGAGAAACTGCGGGAGATCTTTGGGCTCTACGGACAGACCACGGGAAAGGTAGGGAGGCATCCAAATTTTGGGTCGTCCGCAAGCAAGGGAGGGCTTGCGCCTTTCGTTGTGTGATGAAGCTCCATCTAGAAGCTAATTGAACTGATAACTGTGAATTTGTCCATGATAGCAACCGAGCTGAATCTTTAATAATAATAATAACGACGATGCCCTCGGGCAGGTTTTGAAACTGCCCGGATTGTGCCGAACACGGTACCTCTGCAACAATTTGGGGAGTTAGGTGTCGAGCTGGCGTTTTAACACGTCATCTGGCTCTTCTGGTTTCGTTACTCTGAATTTCCATCCGGTTACGCCTCCAATCATTTTTTCGAGTGTTTAAAAAAGAAAAGCCGGTACGGTGCGAGAGAATTGAGCAGCGATGGTAGGGAAAAAAAAACAAACAACCAAACCACCGTGAGGCTGCTCTTGGCGCTCGCCTACGCACGCGGTGACCGTTTCGGCTACACCAGCCCCGCGCCTCGAAAACGGTTCTCCCGCGGTGCTGCGTCCGACAGTCCCGCGCCGTACCGCCGAGAGGGAGGGGGGAAAAAGGCTCGGAGGGCGGCAGGGAGGTTGTGACGTCCCTTTGGATTTCCGTAGGGAAACGTGCCACTGAAAGACCTGAACGCACGGCCCATGGAGGTGTTCATGTGCAGCGTGCTGAAGAGGCAAGGCTACGGCGAGGGTTTCCGTTGGCTATCGCAGTACATTGACTGACCCCGGGGACGGACGTGAAGGGTTTTATTCCTCTGGACTGATCCTGCTGGCGGCTTCCTACGGACTTTTCTCACAGGGCGCGGGAGGCTTTCCAACCGCGGCCCGGCGCTCGCCGAGAGACTCCTGGTTTTCGGCTGCCCTGGTGGCACAGTGGTGACACGGCTCTTTTCCGCGCGGCGGTGGCGGGGGGAACACGGCACCCTTCCGCACGCGGGCGCGAGTCGTCCCTTTCCCTTGGGTGACAGCGGGGGCTGGTGTCACCAGGGGAGTGACGCTCCGCGTCGCCGTAATGGCTGAAAAAGAGAGCGCGTCTCACCACTGTGGTTAATTGACTTCAAAGAGACACACAAAAAAAAAAAAAAAAAGAAAAAGCAATTATATTTTTTAAAGAAAGCGTTAATGTAGACAGCGTCCCTTCTAACTTTTTAGTTTAACGTTCATCTTGTTTAGTCCAGAGTCTGGTTAGGGGTTTGTTTTGGTTTTGTTTTTTTTTTTTTTAAAAAAAAAAATATTTAACGATATTTAGGTATTTCACAAGTTGCTGAACTGAGGTATCACAATATTAGCAGTCCTCAATAAACATAGCATTTGGGCTTAACGGAGCTGTGGAGGGTGGCCGTGCTGCGTCACGCTGACCGAGGATGACGCTGTGGCGGAGGGGACACGGCTGCTGTCCCGGCGCCTT